GATGGCACTTAACAACTTAACAACAACAACAACAACATCGTGGATAGCCTAAACAGAAATATATACTCCCTTGCTATTGGAGGATGTGAAAGAAGGAAAAGCCTAAAGGGACTGAAGCACTTTTCCTTTTTGTCTCTGTCTTCACTAATTTTCCTAATACTGTTTGAGGGGTATTAGGGCATGGAACTTCCCCACTCCTGGTACCTTTCTCACCTGACCTGCTAATCTTAACTCATGGTGACCCCATAGTAATCTTTTATACTAATTGAAACTTTTTAAGGAAGGACTGCTTGGAGGAAGAAAGGAATAGTAGAAACTCATTTTTTTTTTTGCTATTACTTTATTTACCCAGTCGGTTTCCTTCTGAGAGATTAACTTTTAACTGTTAAGTCAGTGAGTGTGAGCTTCCAACAATTATGGGCTTGTTAAAGTGGCAGCATATTGGGATTCAAGTGGTACTTTCTATATTCCCTCAGGTTTTAGGTTGAATATGTAACATGGATGAAGGCGATATGATATTGAGTATGATTGATTGATTGCAATAGAATCCATATTTAAAATTTTCTTGTCCATGTTGTGGGTCAAATAAAAAATGTCAGTTGGAAGGAAACACTTTAAAACTGCCTGTTAATGAATGCTCTCTAAAACAAACAAAAGACAAACCAAACCTGTTGTTGTCAAGTGGATTCCACAGTGACCTTATAGGACTAAGTTGAACTGCCTCCTCAAGGTTTGCAAGTCTACAAAATCTGTAAATCATTCCTTTAACATTTTTTGTGAGCTGAATGAAAGCTTACAGAGCAAATTGGTTTTTCATTCAACAGTTCATATACATTTTGTTTAGTGACATTGATTACAATCCACAATGTAACAGCATTATTCTTATTTTCTTTCTGTAGTTACCATTTCCCTTCATCCTGCTTTCTTACCCCTTCCTTTTAAGCTTTATCTTTGGGCAAAACCTGCCCTTTTGATTTCAGATCATTGTTCTAAGGAATGTGTACATCCCTGGTGTTACTGTTTACCTTATATGCCTATCGTTTGGCATTGGACCACGAGGTTGGTTTGAACCACCAGGTCGGCAGTTCAAACTCACCTGCCACTCTTGGAAACCCTGTATAGGGTCGCTATTGGTCAGAACCAACTTGATGGCACTTAACAACAGCAATTGTTTGGCTGAAAATTGATCCATGGGGGTGAGTTCAGGTCTAAGCTTGAAGGTTGGTTACTAAAGACCAGAGTCTTTATCAGACCAGTAAGCCTGGCCTTTATTATGATTTTGAATTTTGTTCCACTATTTTTCTCCCGCTGTATCCAGGACCTATTGAGGTCTCCTTCAGAGCTGTTGGTAGGAGTAGTTAGACATCATGTACTTCTTCTGATACCAAGATCAAGAGAGCTAAGGTGTACATGGCCCATTGGTCTCATAGATTACCTTTCCCTATGTGTTTTGGATTTTCTTCACTCTGCTTTGGATGGAGAGAGACCAATAGTTACACCTCAGATGGTTGCTCATTAGCTTATCCTCATCAGGACTTCTCCAAAGAATAAAACGAGAACCTACAGACTGGGGGAAAAATAGCCCTGGTGTGGCACTGTAGGATAAGCACTATACTAATAACCACAAGGTTGACAGTTCAAACCCACCAGCCACTCTTGGAAACCCTTTACAGGGTCACTGTGAATCGGAACTGACTCTATGGCACAGGACAACAGCAACACCATATCTGACGGGATTAATCTCTAAAATTTATGGAAAAGTGAAATACCTCAACAACAAAAAGACAACCCTGTTAAAGAATGGGCAGAGGACATGAATAGAGGCTTCACACAAGAAGACAGTCAGATGGCTGTGAAGAAATGCTCGCCATTAGACCTATCAGCCACTTGTAGTTAAGTTTTGTTGCATCGGTTCCAACTCATAGCGACCCTGTGTAGGGTTTCCGAGGCTGTAAATCTTTGCAGGAGCAGAATGTCACATTGTTTTCCCATATTAGCCACTGTTGTTGTTTTTCAGTACTGTTGAGTCACTTCCGACTCATAGTGACCCTGTACAGGCTTCCAAGGAGTATCTTGTAGGTTTGTACTGCCAACTTTGTGGTTCATAGTCCTGTGCAGGAGTCCATATTAGCCACTAAAGAGATGCAAATAAAGCAATGAGATGTCATGTCACCTCAGCAACAGTGTAGTTGTTGTTAAGTGTCATCGAGTTGATTCCAACCCATAAGGACCCTGGATAGGGTTTCTGAGGAGCAGCTGGTGAATTTGAAGCACCAACGTTGTGGTTCAAACTGATCTTCTGATGGAGTGTAGAATTAGCGGAGTTCAATGAAGCAGAAAACAGCAAATGCTAATGAAGGTGTGAAGAGATTGAAACTCTCATACACCGCTGATGTGACTGTAAACTGGTACACCATTGTGGAAAATGATATGGTGCTTCATTAAAAGAGCTTGGAATAGAAATATCATTTGACCTAGCATTCCCACCACTACTGAGTATACATGTATATGTGTATGTATACTTATGTATGTATGTATGTATCCTAGAGAAATAAGAGCTGGGACACAAATATATATGCAAACTCATGTTTATTGTAGCATTATGCAAAATAACAAAGAGATGCAAACAACTTAAGTGCCTATCAATGGATGAATGGATAAATAAACTATAGTACATACACAAAATGGGATATTAAACAACTTTAAAGAATAACGAAGAAGCCACAAAATGACTCTTAATGTGGATGAACCTGGAGGACGTTATACTGAGTGAAGTCAGTCAATTCCCAAAGGAGTCCTGGAGTGGATAAGCACTGAACTGTTAACCTAAAGGTTGGCCGTTCAAACTCACCAGCTGCTCCTTGGAAATTCTACATAGGGTTGCTGTGAGTCAGAACAACTTGATGGCACTTAGCAACAATAATGAAAGGACAAATATTGTATGAGACCACTATTATAAAAAAATGAAGGAAAGATTTGCACACAGAAAGAAACATTCTTTGATGGCTGTAAATCTTTATGGAAGCAGACTGTCACATCTTTCTCCTGTGGACCAACTGGTAGGTTCAAACAACCAACCTTTCAGTTAATAGGAAAGTGCTTAACCACTGTGTCACTAAGATTCCTTGAATGATCTCCAGATAACCTGTTTTGGATTAAACAGTGCATTGTGGTGAGATTAAACACCCCTCCCTTGCAGATAATAGTTTGCTAATGTTTTACAATATCCAGAAACTTCAAGCTCCAAAGGGGGATGAGTTTTCTTGGATGCTGTCCATTCTTTATTGGTTCCTTCAGGAAGTGTTTTAGTTACAACATACTACAGTAACAACAACAACAACAAAAGAATCTCAGCACAATTGGGTGACTTTAAAGAATAGCAACGTGTTGTCTCACAGTTTTGGAGGCTCGAAGTCCAAACTAGGGAATTGACTATAGTGGGGAATCCTTCCTTGTTGGAAGCCCCAGGATTTCTTGGTGTTCCTTGGCATCTTTCCTCTCATGTGTACCTTTGTGTCTATTCTGTGCTTTTTTTTAGAAGCCACCATTCAGAATTGACTCACGTTAGGGCTCACCCTAGTCTGGTATGACTTCATAAAACAAAAGGGAAACTTCTATTTTCCAATAGGGCTATATTTATAGCTATAGGGGTTAGGACTTATTCAGTTTTTAGTGGTTATAATATCATTCATAACAGGAGCCATTCTCTCCCCTAATATTACATCAGAGTATATAGTATTTGTAGTATTATTGGTAATACCCTACGTAGTTATGTTTTTGAAGTTTGTCTTTAAAAAAACTAAGATTAAGTCCTACTTCAGTCCTCACTGGGTTACAGTGAACAGCACAGTACTAGTCACATAGTGGAGTCTTGGCGTGGCACTGTGGGTTAATGCGCTCACTGGACTGTAAAGTTGGTTTGAGCTGCAAGGTAGGTGGTACAAGATCACCAGCTGCTCCTGGGAAAGCCTATACAGGATCACTACAGGTTGGAAATGACTTGAAGGCACTTAATGACAACAAAGTCATGTAGTAGGATCTCAGCAAATATCTGTTGATTAAATGGAAGGTTAGATTGTTATCAAAATAGGTGTTGATGAATTTGATATCTACTTTAGCTTCTTTTTTGGTGGCTACAACTGATACAGTTAGAGCTATCTTTTACATAGTGGAAGACATTAATCATAAGGGTCTCTGATGAGAATCTGTGGATAGATAGAGTATGTCCAGCTTATTCTTAAGGATGGTCTTCTTAAAGTGCCTATCATATACTAGGGTGATTCAAAAGTTTGTGGAGAAATGGAAGGAAAAGGTAATGGAATTACCTTCTGTGCGTGAGTATATGTGTATACATACTGTGTGTGTATGTGTGAGTGTGTGATGAATGAATTTTTATATATTCAAAGTAAAGCTTTATATCCAAGTGGTTCTTCACTTAACAGTGTGTTCTTGTTTATAGGGGAGTGTTTGCTACTTTTCCACCAGTGGTCGTCGTCATACTAAATTTTACTCAGATCCAGTAGAAGCTATAAAAGACATCCCTGATGGTTCCACGATACTGGTTGGTGGTGAGTGACAGCATTGCTTTCCTTTATGTGGTAACATTCTTTTGTCTGTAGGGCCTCAGTGAAAGCATATGGCAAAACTGTGTAGATTAGAAAGACTGAAAATGGCCTCCTTTATCCCTAGTGTCTCATTCCTGAAAGTTTAGTAAGGTTCAGCACCTGATGTTTTGTTTTATTAATTTGAAAAACTGAAATTTCAAACTGTTAAAAGTTTCAAGTTTTAAACTATCTGTGGTGATATCTTAATAACTATGGAAAATCACTAGATTCTTAGGAACTCTTTTTACCATGCAATGTTTATTTTGACCATATTGGCCTGCATACCTGGTTACTCTTTATTTTATGAGACGAAGAGTCCGTAAGCCTATTTGTTGTTGAACCCCTCAAGTTCTACTGCTTCTGCTTATTTGGAATGTCTTTTAGGACCACCAACTTAACACTCATTACATTTGCTGACTGTTTCTTTGGGTTTCTAGGCCTTAGTCACAGTATTCAAGATATTTTTCAGGGCTGCTCTCCATTCATCCAATCATTCAAATAATAATTATAATAATAATAATAATACCCTTGAATGTGCACTTTTAAAGCAGCACTATGCATATTTGAGAAATTGAGGAATATGTACAAGCATGGTAGATATTAGCCCAGGTTTCTAATTCTGCAAAAGCTATTTGGGTGTATAAAACACACATGCTTGAGAAACTACTGTATAAGGGTTGAAGTATAAAGTGGGACAGTAATAGAAATGTACTTAAGTGTAAGATGTACAATGGATAGCCATATAAAGTGATTGCATTTGGCTTTCTACTTATATTCAAAGATTTGACAATGATGTTTGATGCGAATTAATGGTGCAAGGCATTTGAATACAACTGTATGACCATTTATTGAGTTGGTGAGATTATCTGTGGATTGTGTTTAATGAATCTAATAATGTGCTTGATATATATATATATTTTTCTTTTATATAGAATAACACCTGTGTTTCCCTGAAAGAAATAGCTTCTCTTTTGTCTTGTTACAGGTTTTGGGCTATGTGGAATTCCAGAGAACCTTATAGGAGCTTTACTAAAGACAGGCGTGAAGGGACTAACTGCAGTCAGCAACAATGCAGGGTAAGTGTGCAGTTCAAAACACTTGGCTTGAAAGAAACGACAAATCTTGATGATATTTAAAATTTATCAATGAGATTAAAAATTTCCCCCATTTACATGAGCAATATACCCAAACATCAAAAGAAGCCAGAAGTATTTAACAAGGTCAAGAGTAGATATTGCATTTGTCCAAATAATTTTTAACAGTCCTTCATAATCATAAGTAAAGCAGACTTGCTCTAATTTGATATCCCTTTAACCTGGTGTTCTTTTGCTTTTTAAAATCTAAAATACATTGTTAAAATTTGAATATACGAGGATGCTTCAAAGAGTTGGTGGAAAATCTCCCTTTGAATTCCATTTTCCACGAACTTTTTGAAGCTCCCTCATACATTTTCAAATTGAATATTAAAAAAAAACAAAAAAAAACCTTAGAGGTGTCCTTAATGTTGTATGAGGATACAACATACAACTAGTAGGATAAGATACGCACTGGACTGCTAACCACAAGATCAACAGTTCAAATTCACCAGCTGCTCTGTGGGAGAAAGATGAGACTTTCTGTTCCTGTAAAGATTTACAGCCGCGGAAACCTTATTCACGGTTGCTTTAAGTTGAAGTTGACTTGGTGTCCTTGGGTTTGTTTTGAGTTTTAATGTTGTATGTTGTTACAGACCAACTCTGTTCATGAAACAACGTGGAAATTAATTTGAAATCTGTTTCAAGTTATTTCTTTTGACTATGCCATTATTGTTGCTGTTCCTTGCTGTCAAGTTAGCCTCCAATTCCTGGTGCTCTAATATGGAGCAGAAGGAACTGTTTTCTGCCCCTGAGCTAACTTCATGGTCTTTGGTAGGTTTGAGCCCATTGTTGAGGCTATTGTGTCAGACCATCTCATTGAGAGTTTTCCTCAGATTCTCTGTTGTACCAAACCCCATGTCTTTTCCCAGTGACTGGACTTTCTTGAGCATGTATCCCATTATTGTAGATTATATATAAAGAAATATCATCAACCCTCAAGTTGTTTATCTTGCTAGAAGGAGGAGGCTATATACTTTCAGCCCTAGTGATGGGAGGTTCACATACAATAATGGTTAACATTTGGGCATAACATTTTAAGAATGGCAAGTATGTTATGGTATATCTAGTTTTTGTGGAAAAAACCTATTTGTGTACAAAATAGTTGTTGTTGTTGTTGTCGTCAAGTGCCGTTGAGTGACCCATAGCAACCAGCCATCAATATTTTGGTTCCCCCATCTCCCCAAATCTTAAAAGATTAAAAAACAAAACAATTGCCAGTTTAACCTATCAATGCAGATGATAAGAAATAGCACAGATTCCTTAGTAAACAAAATGGATGCTACATTCCTGCTCATTCTTCCGTTTTTGCATTCATTTTTGCCTTTTATTCCCTACCTGGCATGCTTTCTTGTCTCTCCTTTGTCTGTCTGTGTCCTTTCCACTTATGCTAGTTTTTCAGGGCTGCCAGAACAAATTGCTGCAAAGTGGGTGGATTTAAACCACAGAAATGTATGCTTCTGTGGCCTCGAGGCTAAAAAGTTGAACTCAGGGTGTCAGTAGGCTGTGTTCTTGCCAAAGCCTCTTGGGAATGATTCTTCCTCTTCTCTTCCAGCTTCTGGTAGTTTCATACATTCCTTGGTTTGCATTCATTTCTGTCTCTGCTTACACCTTACCATGGCGTTTTTCCTCTGTGTCTCTGTCTTTGTGTATCTTCTTTTCTAATGAGCACATAGTCAGATGGGGTTCGGGACCACTGGACTCCAGTGTGACCTCATGATAATTTAGTGAATTACATCTATAATGATTACTTCCAATTGGATCACACTCACAGGGGATAGGACTAGAACATACCCTACTTTGTGGACATGGATCAACCTGTAACACACTTTCAGGATCAACTCCAGCTCCATATCCTCGAGAACTTTTCTAACTACAGAACTTCCTGACTCTCATTAGTCTCTTCTGAATTCCTTTGACACCTTTTAGTTTTTATATACGGAATTGTGTTGATTGTCTTTGATATATACTTCTTTTTGTTAAGTACACCTGAGTCAGTTCTGACTCACTGTGACCCTGTATAGGGTTCTCGAGGAGTGACTGGTGGGCTTGAATTGTCAACCTTGCGGTTTAGAGATATAGTGCTTCTCCTACAACACCACACTGGAGGGCTTCAAAAGTTCATGAAACAATGGAATGAAAAGATAATGGAATTTTTCCATGAACTTTTTAAAGCCCCTTAGTATTTTATATAGATCCTATTACTTACAGTTGTTTTATTCCCTTCTGCCAAAAATGTCACCAACCATCCCTCATACAGTACTCTCTGCCCAGCTGGGTTCAGTAATCCCTTGTAGTGGTTACACAGAACTCAGCTCCATACTCATAGTTATGGGGTTTATGAGGGAGGTTATCAGGTTACAGTTCAGAATTAGAAATGTTCAGGACCAAGTTCTTCCAGTCAGGATATCCTTTCCTCAGCCATGCCCATAGGCAAGCCTCTCTCAGCCTGGCCAGTGGTACACAGCTCTTTTAGGGCTGCTGATAAATGCCCACAGGGCATACCAGTCTACCATAAGCCTCAGCCTGAACACACTCAATTCTGGCTCCATGGGTTAGTGCTGCCCACCCCCCCACCTCCCCACCCACCATTTAAGTGCCTGGTGGCACCCCACTCTGCAAGCAAACCTCCTGGCCACAGTCATTCAGTTTTCCATGCTCTGTGGGCTGGGCACCCCATCATGGTCTGGTTTACACTTGAGTTATTGGTTCTGCTTCTCCTCTGGGGTTACAGCGTTGTATCCCTGGATTGAGGAGGTTCACTGTGCAGGGATCTTGGGATCCAAAGGACATGCTCTGCTCCTGGCTCTTTTTTGATGGTAATGAGATCACTTCTCCTTCTTCTGAGATGCTCATTTAAAACCCAGCAGAATGGTAATATTGATCAGTCTGCTCTTCAGATTTCCAGGTAGTTACAGTCACAATCCTGTTAACAATTGCTCAAAAGTGAGTCATATAATCCACTTTCTCTTGCCCAGACCTACCAAGAAAAAGTTGTTTGGTGGTAGTTTACAAAGGTTATGCCTCAAAGAAGTATTAAATAATCCCCTACACTGCAGCTGCTGTGTTTACAGATATTAGAACCACTGAGTTTAGAGGGTTCCATACTTAACAAAGATGACTGATCTGTAAAGGGAGAGTAACTTGCTCACAGTTAGTTGATATTTCTTCAGCACATCTCATGCCCTTCAATCTAACTTTATGTTTATTTAAAATACTTTTGATTATCAATACTTTGCTGGCTTTTCCAGATAACTGGGGGCTTACCAGGGATGCAGTGTTGTTGTTAGTGCCGTGGAGTTGGTTCCAACTCATAGCAACCCTGTATAGGGTTTCCGAGGAGCTGCTGCTAAGTTTAAACCACCAACCTTATAGTTCAAACCAACCTTTGGTCGAGTGCTTATCCTATAGTGCCACACCAGGACTCACAATAGGTGTCTTGTTGTTAAAGTGCCATTGAGTTGGTTCCAGCTCATAACAACTCTGTGCAGGGTTTCTGAGGAATAAGTGGTAGGTTTGAGTTGCTGACCTTGTGGTTAGCAATCTAGTGCTTATCCTACAGGTCACACCAGGACTCCAAATGGGTGTCTAGTAGGTGCTAATAACATATTACGTTGAATACAAAGAAGGCACTTTACAAACCCTCATTAACAATGATTTTGTCACATGTTGTTGTTAAGTGCCTTCAAGTAGATTCCAACCCATAGC